AAATGTGGCAATGTAGACCTGAAATTGAGAACTAAAAGCAGGATAAAAATGCTGGAAATAAAAACATACATTATATGCCAAAATTGTTCAAAGTACGGTCCATGAACTTCATGCAGTTTCAATAAAAAGTAGAAAGTAGCATAGCCTGTTTTGTGGAAATTTGTAGACAGAGGATGATACATCTGGGTGTGACAGGATTCTCTGGAGAAGGAAAGAGGAAGCACCACTGGCAGAAGTTTGACCTGCATTCCCCAAATAGAGGAAGAGAAAGAAGATAGTGGTCTGAGCCTGGCTTCTAGTGGAAAAGAAGTAAAGAAGTAACGTGCATGGTCCAGGGTGCTCAGGCAAAGAGGCCACAGTGAGAAGAGCTGAAGTTAACAGTATCTGTCATGAACTGTATACAGGCAGCTTTTAGTTCTCTTATGCATATTCATTTGTCAAAATACATGATCGTCAACAGTATGCATATCTCAGGAGTATTTTTTTTCATCCTCCGGGTAATATGAACTCAACAGGAGTGGAAAACGTGTGTGCATGATTCAGAATATTTCAGGAATATGCAATCTTAGAAAATAATTTCCTATATTCATTTAATATTGTCTTCAGCGCATGTTAAGGAGTGTTCAGAAATAACTAGAACAGGGATCTCAAACTCGCGGCCCGCGGGCCAGTTGCTGGGATGGGCAGGGCACAGGGGAGGGGCCCTGTGGCCTTCAAAGCACCGGTGGCGCCCAGGCCAGCCTCCGGGAGCGATGTGGGATGAGCGGCCCACCACCACCGTGGTGGTGGAATACTTGATACAGCCCAGCCTCACCCAGACTGCCCCCAGGTAAGTTGAGTTTGAGACCCCTGAACTAGAAAATGTGAGATGAACCCAATATGGTGATTTCTGCACATTCTTGGATGTTTCTTGGGGACCGTGCAAAAAGTACGTCCCAATACTTTTTGGAGATTATGCACAATGACCAGAAAATATGCATAATTTCTTTTTCATGATCAGATTTTGTCTACATTCAGCATGAAATATGGTAAAGCTGCACAATGCCTGATTGCTCTGCATATTAATTATTCGACTGACTTTATCCCTTACATATTAAATACACACTGCAATGTTTTTAACCAACACTTTAATAGATATGCTGGAAATAACACCATACTGAACCTTAATCATTAGTACCGAAAACTGCCTTATTTTTCTGTGCTTTCCCTTAGGCCCCATGTTACCAATATGTTTGGAAACTTTTTGTATTGCTATGTGTTTGCCCCATGTCTTGCTTTTACTACCAAGACCTCCTGAAACCATTTTGCAATTACAAATCCTTACATTTATCAGTATCTATCAACTATCTTTATATTTGCATTATTCACAAGGAGATGATGCAGTGGCATTGAGAATTAAAATTTTGAAAGGAATATAATTATATTTGCAGATTATTTTCCAATGTTGACTCAGAACAAAAGAGATGGCAAGCCAGCCTTTCTTTGTTGGACCTTAACTGTTTATCTTCTAGTTATTTCTGAAGATTTAATGGTCAATCACTTTTTACCTGGACTCAGGTGTTTACGAAATGACATGGAAACTTTGTCACCAGAACATGAGGTAATTGAAGCTGTTATTTTATTCTGAGTTTGAGAGAGCAAAAGAAATGTGGTGCATCAATCAGTGTTAAATAGGAAATATTACAGCAAGTACCATTTTAATCTTAAGAATTCCAGTGCTGAATTAGGGATAGATGAAGATGTTACACATGCATGGAGTGGAAGATGTTGAACACATCATTTTTAATTGTGATTGCTTATATTAAGGCTCATGGACTGAATTTATATGACAGAGCAACCCACTTTTGCTAAGTAGCCACTGTGAGTTCTTGTGGCATTTGAACCTGTATGACTTCTTACGGTGTGGTTTTTATGTGGGTAGTAAACCATCCTGACAACATGACTTGGTCTAGGGGTTGTTGGACCACAGTGAATTATCATGTCATCCAGATTCAGGCAGCCAACCCCTTGTGTCATCCAACCCTTTTGTCATTCTTGTTGAGGCCACCTGGATTACCACCAGTGACAACTGCTCTTTCGGGTGTCGTAGCAGCACCGGCTTGTTTCCATATGCTGCTGTCCTGCTCCTAGGCTGTAGTTCAACTGCTCCCAGTTGTCCTGTTTAAATCCCATTTTCTCCCACCCCACCTTTCCAAAAGTTCCATTACTTTTCCCTCTTCCTATCCCCCTTTTAATATAGAACCCTCGTAACAGTATATTTTTCTTCCTCTGTGTAGGGCAGAATAAGCTTTCAGGGGAAGAACAAATGGAGTCTGCCAAAAAAAAAAAAAATATTGCATTGTGGAATGTTCCTGTTTAATGTGCCAGCCAGCCATAACCTTTTACAGCATGTTCCATTGCCCATCCAGTCTTGTGGGTGGTTTCCCCCATAGATACTCATCATTCTGAGATTATTATAGTCTATCTTAGGTCACTTTTTGAAATTGTAGACTCCGTTTTCTGTGCATTTTCTTATTTTCTTTTACTTCTGCAAACTTTAAGATTCATTCATGTAAGTGTGTTCATCCCTCCTTCTGGTTTCTCAGTGGCCTTAAACTCCCTTTGACACTTAGTTCCTGATTAGGAGTGACTGACAGATGGTAGAATTATTAAGAAAAGTATGAGAGAGGAACTTAAAGTATTATCTGCCTTCTATCAGCTTGGTGCAGTCCCTTTAGGTAGTCTTCGAGATGGTTCTGCCCCTACATAGCCACCTTAGTATCAACAGATAGGAGATGCATCTGTATGTGTTATGCAAAAGAGGGTAGAGAGGGAGGGTATGTTTGCACATGTTCATAGGTCTTGCCCCTCTATCAGTCAGCAATACTGTGCCCACTTTTTAAAGAAAAGTTCTAATACCCTTGCTCTAGGTTGTTCAAGAACTGAACTATTAAAGACACATAGAAGTTTGACATATGGGATACATTATGCACTTCTGACATTGGGTAGTACAACCCAGTAATTTTGCAACCCAGTGTGGGGGCACTACCTAGCTTGCTGCCAAAAATGCACAGTGATGCTGGTAAAGTATGCAGGGACACACCACATCTGCAGGAAAGGAAACCCCTCTCAGGATCAACATAACAGTCTCTTTCAGCTCCATGGCAATAGCCAAACACATACCACCCACGTTGTCCTGGAAAGCAGAATGCCACAAGGAAGGAGGGGCAGGGATGTGGACGTACATGAGCAGATCGTATAGAGCTCATTAAGGCACAGCACTACAGCGACTGTGTGCAGGCCCTCCGGAAGAACGGAAGTTTTTCAGTGCTGTCTTTTTCAAATTGTAGAATGATTGAAGTCAAAGCAATTTCAGTCTGCAAGAAAAAGGGTTATATAAATCATGCTTCCCATTGAAATGTTTTCATGTATTTATATTTCTTGAACCATGGTACAGATCTGCCTACTTCTGAACGTGGCCTGTTGTGAATTTACAAAAAGTGCAAAGCTGTATTTACACTGCTTTATTCCTAGAAGAAGTTTTATTTCTTGCATCTCTTTGTCTCACTGTATATTTTGCTTGCTTGCTTTTTTACCCATAGAGGGAATGTCTTTAAAATATCCCTATGAAAGGTCTGTCTAATCACCAGCTCTCATGACAGTTTTTGGTTAACAGCACAATCCTATACATCTATACAGAATAGATTGGTGATGCTTTTCCAGACTGTTCAAGGCCTTCTTCACCAGGATGTTGTAGAGAAAGAGAGAGAGTAGTCAGTGGCTTACTGTGAAAAAAAAATGCTTTGTTCTTTGTGTATAAAATTTCTTGGATTTGCCTTTACCTGGACTCCAGTCTTGGGACAAGTTAGAGTGATGTAATTTGTCATCATTTGTCAAGATGTTTTGGATTCTTTTCAGTTTGTGGATCTCAAAAGATGTTGACAGGGCATCTAAAGCAGTGACGGCCACCAACTGTGTACTCAACCATTGCCTTTCTCAGATTAATTAAAGTTGGACTGATACTGTGGCTAAGGGGAATAATTAATTCCTCTTTGTGAGAGGTGTTGTTTTCCAATGCTTAAAAGACTGTAATAAGTAAAGCTTCCTTGGGCCAGGAAAAAGATTAGCCAATCTTAAATATAGTATTCTTGGCTAAGGTGATCAAGAAGATGGTGGCATTGCATCTGAATGACAGTGATTCCCTTGACCTATTTCAGTAGGACTTTTGACAAGAAAATGGCTTTTGACAAGAATACTTCAGTACAGCTTTTTGGCAAGAATTGGATGTAGGGAGCACAACCCTTTTAATGTTCTTGGACCACTTGGTGGCATTAGATATCATTATCCATGGTAGGCTTTTGGACTGTGTGGGAGGGTTTGGTTTGAGATTTGCTGTTTTGCAGTGGTTGCAATCCTTTCTGTCAAGCTACATCCAGAAGATGGTGCTGTAGGATTACTGTTTGATTTCATAGCCATTGGCTGCCCACAGGGTTGTAGCTTGTTCCCGCTGTAGTTCCCCATGTATCTACATGAAACCAGAGGGAATTCTAACTTTGTAGATAGGTGCCATCTAGACAGTGATGACACCAATTCTATTGCTCTTTGTCACCTTGCAACAAGATGCCATTGAAATATTTGACTGCAGCCCGTATCCAATAATGATCTGAGTTAGGATGAACAAACTGAATTTTGTTCAGACAAGATGGAGGTGTTGCTGGTGAGTAGAAAGTCTGATTTGGAGATTTGAATTCAACTTGTTCTGAAAAGGGGTGGGTGTGCCCTGAAAGATCAGATCTTGGAAGTGCTTATCAATCTTACGCCCTCCCTGGATCATATGGTTGTGGCAATGACAAAAGTACCCACACAGTTGTGTTTGGTACATTAGCTGCAACCCTTCCTGAACTGGGCCGAGTTGGCAACAGTTAACTATGTCTTGGTTACATTGCAATGCACTCTATATGTCGCTTCCCCTGAAGAGTGCCTGAAAGCTTCAGTTAGTGTAAAAAGTGGCATCTAAGCTGTTTACTGTGCACAGAATTGGAATCTGAAAGACCTGAACTGTTTGCCAGTTGCTTTCTAAGTTCAATTCAAGGTCTTGATCTTAACCTGGCTATCCAAGGAACCACCTGAACATCAAGATATGGAGGAAAGGCCCTTTTGAGGACCCCATTATCCAGGGAAGCCCATTTGTCGGACATGAATTAAACTTGGTTGTCCTTCAAACTATGGAAAGCTCCATCAAGAACTATAATTGCCCCTCACTCTCTTGGCTTTTAGAAATAGTGTAAGGACATGTTTTCAAATTGGCCTTTAAAATGTGCAGTTTTGTTATGCTGTCCTTTTTTATATTCTAGTTTTTATGGTTGCAAGATCTGTTTTAAATTGTTGTATGCTACTCTGATGGCTTTTGTAGCAGTTGTTTGTATATAAAAGTTAATAAATGATCTAGTGTGGAAGGTAATGTGTAGATTTGGGTGCTCAGCCCTTTTTCTCATTTCTAGGAAAGACAGAAACCATTGTGAGTACTAAGAAACAGGGATAGGTATAAAGCCTGTGCCAGATGGGGCTTCACTGACCCTAAAGTAGCAGCTTCACACATTAAGATTCTTTTTGATACAACGCAGCTTTCAGATGTTCAGGCATCAGCAGGGACTGGGGAGCTTTTCACCAGTTTAGGTTGATGTGCTAGCTGTGACTTTTCATTAAGAAGACTGATCTGGCTACAGGACATTCTAGTTTTGGTAAACTCCAAATTTAACTACTGTTATATGTTTTATGAGAAACCACTTTTCCAGTGTCTAAAAAAACAATTTGGTCCACAAAGACCCTATGCATTATTCTGATCCCTTTTGGACCTTGCTGTCCATTTCTGGATTTAACTCAGAGTGGTGGTTCTTACCTTTCTAAAGTCAGAAACAGCTTTAAGAACTGCCTCCTGTGCTTTCCTTTCAAGAACTGAAGGCCTGTTCTCTCTGCATATCAATTTATATGAATGAGAGAAACAGGACCTTCTCTGTTGTGGCCCCAGTGCTCTTGAAATATTCTCCTGAAGAAGGCCCTCATGACCTTCTATTCTATGCCTTCTAGTGTTTGGCAAGATTTGGTTGCAACAAGGTTTTGCTGGGGAGGAGAAGGGAATCAAATCTTTGTGGTTGGTTGGTTGGTTGGTTGGTTTTTTAACTGCTGAGGAGCAGCATTATTTCAACTACAGGTTTTTGTTTTTCTGACTGTTGTCTATATTATTATAGTGTTGATGTTTGTGCATACGTAATGTTAGCTGCTTTAAATTAATCAGAAAAAGAAGGATAATTCTGTTTAATATAAAACAGTCATGTACCTATAGAAAAGAAAAAAAATGCATAAATGGGCATATTGTTGACAAGGGTGGGCAATTTCTTTCTGAAGCATTCTCTCTGCTTGCTTGCTTACTTTCATCTCATGAACAAATGTTTTGCTCCTGCACATTTAGGAATGGAAATGAATGTTTTGCTTTGCAGAAAAAGACAAGAGATTTCAGTTGAGGTCTTTGAGTGTCTTTTGTCTGATTATTAAATAGTGTTTTAAAAGTTATATGAGAATTCTATTCCCAAACTATATTTTGGGGAAGCTGAAACCTGGTTACAGGTTCCACCCTTCAATTCCATGCTTTTGAACTGAGAATCCAGCAATCAGCATTGTGCATGACTGTGGGAAAGAATATTTAGCTTTCATTTTGCAAAAAGATGTTTTACATTCCATTTAGCTAGTCCATAGTAATTTATGGACACTGTTTTATTTATCCTTATTGGAGTAGGCATTTGTTAGATTCTTGCATTTATTGTGATATTCCCAGAATCAAGATATGACAGCATAGGACACAGATTCATTCCTGTTGAACATACTAGCCTGGAATTCAAGGAATTATGCACCAATTCTGAAGCATGTAGCATAAATAAACCAAAGACTTGAGAAAACAATGCATCCTTCAGTCATCTCACAGACTGATCCTGGTTTGGGCAGCAGATCTTGGATTAAATAAACATTGGATTAACATTATGTGTGAAACAGGCCATTGCCACAACTCTCAAATTTAAAATGTTTACTTTCAACTGAAATGTTGTCCTATCCTGTATCTTAGGTTATTTTAAGCTCCATGATAAAGGAGTGTGAACAGAAAGTGGAAAACAGAAGTGTCCAAGAGCCACAAGGGTAAGGCACTGGCTTTTCACAAGTTATCTTTGCATACATTTATTATTTATTTATTTATTTATTAAAACATTTCTATGCCGCCCCTTGCCGAAGCCTCAGGGCGGCTTACAACACAATAAAATACAATAAATACAATACATCATATGGACAATATTAATGATTCATAATGGGTTCTTAATATCATCTGATTTTCAGTCTAGGCAGGTTTGCTTAGTAGCTGTAAATGTTAAGATTGCATATTAGATCTTCAAGATAAGAAAATGCTGCTCTTCTTTGTGGTCCCTGTGTGTCACACATACGAGCTCTGTCCCTGCCTAGAACCATCTATCAATCTCAATCTATATTTTCTTGTTCTATTTGCTCATTTTCTTTGCTCATTTTTCTCAAACATAGCTTTTTTCCCTTATCCTTATCCTTATCCAAACATACAAACAAAAACCCTTCTATTGTCCTCTCTCATTCAAATTTCTCTTCAACTGTCTATCCCTTTCTCTCTTATGTCTCCCCCATGGCTCTCAAGGCAGCATTTAGGAAGTGCATATGGTGCAATGTGCCACTGCCCTCAACTGCTGGGCATTCTTTATGCCTTTTCGATCTAGGCCAAGTCCACTGGGTGGACTCCTGTCCTAATCGTCAGGTGTTCATCTGGCAGGCTTGGAAAAACTGAGCAGGCCAGCTCAAGACTGAATTGTGGAGCTGTGCATTGATGGCCATCCAGTCAGTCACAGTGGCCCCACTGGAGCACCCTTTGACATCTCAGGCAACTCCTGCCTGTCATGCCCCATCAGCAGATGCTGGGGCTCTGACAACTGCTCCATTATTATGTGCCACCCAAGTCTGAGCTTGCACTAGATGAGGACAGGCCTAAGAAAAGGATTAAGAGGCCCCATAAGATGGTGGGCACTGACAAAATGGTGGTGAAGAAGGACAAAGATAAGCCCAAAAAACTGGCCTGACACCACTCACCATCAGTGTCCTCTGGACAGGCATATGCACGCGTGCTGCCAACAGTTCAGTCTGCAGTTCCCATGCTGGCTCCTCTTTTGGGTCCTGCAGTGGTTCCTGTGCCAGTTTCTGCAGCAGCACCTCCATTGGGCTAATGATGTAGGTTTGAATTGACTGTCTCACTATCCTTCTCTGAAGGAGAAATGCAGCACTCACCACCCTATACACCCCACCACCTTTGTCTCCTCCAAAGCCCCCTGCACTCAGCAGCAGTCCTCAATGCTGCCACCGAGACCAGCTGCCAGAACCTTGCATGGCATATTCTCTCCAGTGCCACTGCATGCCTCCAGGCTCCTACCACCAACCTGGGTTCAGGAGCCTTTCTGCTACCATTCTTACCCTTGGGAGAGGAAGACCATGAATCCACAATAGTATCAGTGGGGCACTGCGACCTACTGCACAATGGAACAATGGGGACCATTCCCTATGACCCTGCCACCAGTTCCTGCAGTTCAGCTAGTCCCACCAGTTTCTGCTCATCAGCCACCTGCCAAAACACAGTCTGCTGCACCTCACTGACCTTCCCTGCTGCCTGACCATTCCTCATTGGATCCTGCTGACTATGACAAACTGCCCATCTGTGATGACCCAGTATTTTTGTCACCCAAAGCTGTCATCTTGGCACAAGGTCTGGGGTCCCCCTCTGAAGATTCTGGGTGGTTCTCCAAACATATCTTCCAAATGGTGACATTGCAAGGGCTGGACACCCAGCAGCTCACCAAACCACCTGTGAACCCAGTCTATGATGTCATCCAGACAGAGGACTCCATGCTGGTGGTTATCCTTCCTTTGCTTCTACAGTCCATGAGGGAACCATGGAAGACACCAACACAGCCACAGCCAACATCCTGTCATTTGGAGAGCCTGTACCAGGACCAGAAAAGGGACATCCCATTTCTGCTGCACCATCCATAGCCAAACTCATTGTCATGACCCATTTGTCTCTCTCCAGTAACAACTGTCGCACCAGCTTTCTTCATTCAATTCTGTTCTTGTACAAACTTGAGCATACACCAAGTACAAAAGTTGACACCTATCTACTATTCATTAGCCAAAGCTCTCTGTCTGTGCAAGGCAAGATTGCTCCTTCAGCTGAGCAGTCGTATCAGCAGGCCTCGTATCAGCAGGCCTCCGTTGATGACACCACTCCCCTCCTTTTCGAGCAGAGCTCACTAGTCACCTATATGTGTGATGCACAGAGACCATGGAGAAGAAAGTAAGGTTGCTTACTCACATAACTGACATTCACACAACCCACCCACTGGCCCCATGTCAGTATCAACAGCTTTGGTTCCTTTACCTTTTAACCTTCAGTTACATACTAGGACGGTGTGGGTTGCAACTATTCCAGCCTTCCTTCCCAGGCCCCAAGGCTTAAAAAAAATTATGGGAAATGGGGAAAATAGCAGGAGCCCCTCCCAAACATACTCGGAAGAGGGAAGGGAGGGACTCCACCCAAAATGAGCTTAGCTAGGAAAATCTTCCTGACAGCAGACACAATGCCCATATGTGGGATTGCACAGATGTCCATTCGAAGAATGTCAGTTACAGCTAAGTGACCTTACTCTTTGCCTTCTCCAACTGAGAGTAAAATATAGAGAGAGATTTCCAAGTACTAGAATAAGAAAATAATTTGGAACAGTGGAAGATCAATACCCATTATAAGTAGTTCCTAGGTTTCTCTGTATTATACTTCTAGAATCAAAGTGAGGGGTGGCTGAGTAAAATTGACAACAGAATAGGAAGAAAGGTTGAGCTGAGAAAAGACATTTGGCTCTTCTAGAACAGTACTAAATGAAATACAATTTACACAGAAGTAACTGTTTATAATTCGGTAAAAGATGGTAGGAAGCCTCAACTTTTGCAGTTTTCAGTTTGGTGGATTCAGTTATTCGCAAGATTACCATCAATAATTTTTTGAGTTTTGTCACCTGCTGCATACAACTCCACAGGCAGCTGCGCAAGGAACACTTCCCAGCCACCACCACGACCAGCCCAGAACTGTGTGCCATCCCCACCCCCGCCAGCAAGGGCATGGTGAGCACTGGCCTTGGATTCTGGCCTGTGACCACACATGAGACTCATAACACAATTCAGGATGAGCTCCTCTGCAGCATGGGGTCTTGTTTTAAGCTAAAGGTTATTAAAAATGCAAAAGAGTTAATTGTAATGTGACTCTGATGGCTGCATAAGCTTGTTAGTATTCTTCGTCATGTCAATGTAAGGGCTATTCCACCTGTGCGATATTGGCTAATTGACTGGTAAAAGATTATTTTTTTATTTTTATTTTTATTTTTTTATTTTATTTAGAGTTTGTATGCCGTCCCATCGCATAGCTTCGGGACGGCTTACATAAAATAAAATAAAACATAATACTCATAAAATCCAGATCCACCCTGGCTGCAAAGATTACAGAATGACCAAAGAACTGGGGGAAAAACCTGAGGTCTAGGTTAATATGGTTTTTTAAAAAATGAGAAAATTGCAGCCTTGGACAAGAGCTGGTAACTAGAACTGGAGCTTATCAATGTACAAGCCAAACAACATGTTACCATCGCCTTGCACTCTACTTTCATATTGGTTGGGGGTAAATGCATGGTAGTGGGTTTCCATAAATCTACTTACTAAGGGCTAATGTTCCTTTCCCAATCTGTTGAGCACCTATGCTTCCTCCTACTTATGAGAAACCACTACTTAATTCCACCAGGCTGCCAGAAAAGCGAAGTTAAAGCAACAGCAGCAAAAATGCACTGCTACTTCATGCAAAAATCTGATGGGAATGGAGAGGAAGCCCTTTTTTCATAGAGGAAACAAGCAATAGTCTCTTTTTTCTTGTTTGTTTTTTGTAGGAGGCAGCAGGAAAGCCAAGTTCTCTCTGCAGGGTGGGGTTAAAGCATTGATTTAAAGCTTATGCAGAAAGTGAAAGGCTACCTCTCTTATTCTTGTCCTCCTTTTACTTTACTTTCTCCTCCTCTATTGGTATGAAGTAGCAGGAAGGTGCAACTGGTACATTTTGTAGAAGTTCAGCACATGATAGGAACTGAAACCATCTCTTCTTTCCACCATGAAGATCTGGGAAGAAAGAAGAGGTGGCTTCCTTCTTGTAAGCTCTGGTTTGCTGCTTTTGCCTCCTAAATGAAATATTCCCTTCTTTTTCATGGATTGCTAGGAATGAAGGTGAGAGAGATGGATTTTCTCCTTTTCTGCTGGGTTCTTGAAGGGAGACAGCAATAGCAAGTGCAATCACTGAATTTTCTGCATTGACTCTGCTTTGGAAGGTGGAGTTAGTGACACAAGTCACAGACTTGGTTAATAAAGTTGGCCACACTATAGGGTACATATCTTTCTAGGATGCACAGTTGTCAGAATGGTCTGTGTGCCAAGTTTTGCTATGTTTAGAATATATAGCTATAGTAAAATGTACCTGATACAAATGAAAAAGGCAGCAGCTCATGGTATAGTTAAAATTATTGCCACAAATTGCTAAAGTGCTATAGTGATTCCTGTTTTCTTATCAGAACTGAGACTGATGCTAATTGTACACTTTACCTAGACTGTTGAGACTTACTTAGAGCCACATGAAAGACTCTTGCATTGAATCATTGTCCATCAAGCCCACCCTCGGTGCCTTTGCCAGTGGCATTCCAAGGCATTTTTGCAGTCCTGTCCCCCACATCACTTTAACTGGCACTGCCATGGATTAACTTACTTTTCTTTCTTCCAGCTCTATGTCAATTGCAGCAAGCCTTGTGAGTGAAGACACAAAGACCAAGTTTTTGAATAAAATGGGCCAGCTAACTACATCAGGTGCCATGCTGGCTAACGTATTCCAGAGGAAGAAGTAAATCGGAAAAAGAAGTCATCATAAACACTGAGAGACCTCATTAAGACTCGTTCCTTGTACTTGAAGTACTTGCCTTTTTATTTCCCCATCTTACGTTCTTATAGTATAATTTTACTCTAACCTACAAAGATATTTGCACTGCTCTTGAATATCGCTACATATATGTTGATTTGGGATTAAGTCTGGTTGATTATAAAACTAAATTAAGTCTGTATCAAGTCCCTGTCCTGTGTTCTTGTCTTTCCAGCATATTTTTTATATATATAGTGAAGATTTTTTTTTATGTCCTGACGGGTTCTCTGCTGAAATCTGTATTATACATGAAGCTGTTATGATGGTACTTAAAATAATGTAAATTTAAAGTCACAGTCTTGAAGTAATAAAAGTGGAGATTACTTATGTATTTAAGTTATAAGAGGGTAATGCAGAATTTTTTAATGTTTCTAAAATGAAAGACAAGAGCCACCAGCACTCATCTGATTCCTGAATTTTGTTGTTGTTAAAAGATTTTTTTCCTTGTAAGTTATTGTAGATTTGAATTACAGGGGTGATGGAGAATCTAATGTATAACAGAATGGCTTGCACTACAAGTCTCATAGGAGACCAGATTATTAATGGATAAAACAGAAGTTTTAGATACATCTCGTGTGTATGAAGCAGGGCAGAATTAGCCTCCCTACAGCACATCCTAATGAGGGTCAGGGGGTGCTATTACAATGCAATCTTAATCATGTTTACTTGGAAGAAACCCACACTGAGTTCACTGGGACTTCCTTCCAAATTGCTATATTTAGAATTGCAGTATTAAGATAAACTGAAGTGGGGTATTGCTATGGGAAACACATGGATCCATGTAGGTGGTTCACACTGTGATGTCTGCTCATGTACCAGCCCATAGGGGTGCACCACGTGTCTGCATGTCAGAGCAACATCTGCCTTGGTTGTAGGTCCCAGGTGTATGGACATAACACATACTGGCACAGATAAGCATCTTTAAGAGGATGCTGGCAGTGCAGAGGCGCAGCAGTGGTAAGTGATTTGCCCCTGTCCAGGATCTCATTTAAACTGGGTTATAAGCATTGCAGAGCAAAAATCAAAGAGTTTATTGTACTTGGCCCTCACTGTATAGCAATAATTTATTTAGTCCTCAACACCAGTTTAACTTGTGAAACAATAAATGCAGCATAACCTAAAAGATCTCTTAATTGGAATGCTGAAAACTCACAAAAACTATCAACAAATTAACACTGATTTCTATTGCAATCTTATCTTTTGTAGTCTTGCAGTTCTCATAACCTTGCAACATTCTTGTGAGATAAGGAAGGCTAAAACCCAGTTTTGTCCATGGCCAGCAGGAGTTAAAGGCTTTGTGGAGCCATGCTACACAACTGCTACAGTTTTTATCAATCTAATGAGTTCCAAGTCTTCACAACCTTTCTGAATGCATGGCAGGAGGGGGCGGGGGGCGGGTTAAAAACCTAATTGCACACTTCTTTACGGAAGTGCAAGGAAGAGATTAACGGAAATAAAGATTCCATTGAGTTATCACAGTATTACTTTAGCTGTGGGGTAGGGAGATTAGAAATGGCAGATAGAACTGGGGCATGGGATCCTATTGTGGCTTAAAGGAAATAGGTCAGGTATGAACAAATCCAACCCCACTACTATTTCAGTGTAAGTAGCCAGCTATCAGTCACTGTAGGCAGGAGTGGCTGAACAATCACATAGCCCAAGCCCCCATCTCCAGGCTTCCCAACTTGGTGCTTCCAGATGTTCTAGGCTACAACACTCGGGCTTCTTGACCATTGGCAATGAGGACTGGGAATGACAGGAGTTGAAATCCAACACATGGAGGACACCAATTTGAGAAGACTCCCCTATTTTATCGTCTAGAATTCTCCACTGAGAGGGTGGAAATTCTCAGTGGAAAATGGATGAAACAAATAATCTGCCATGATCTCTACAGGATCTATGTACTGCCCTGGCGAAGAAAGCAAATGGGTCACCAGCTTTAGGCATCCTTAAGCTACTAGTGCATTGGACTCTGTTGGAGCATTCATGTGTTGTTACACTCGGGTGCTTGCCATATCTTCAGCGTAAGAAAGGGCCTCTATTGCAAAGGCTACATCTTACCTTTTCAGACTGCATATGTTCATATTTTGATGAAGGTGTGAAAAGGTCATCTTCCCCAGCTCAGCTCTTGCTAGTTATGCTAATTGTATTGCAAGTGTTGTCTTAGCAGACCATCTGATTATGAAATGCTGGAGGCATTCCAGAGGAATTGGAACTGGCTAAGTCTCTTGTCCTTTCTTGAGTTAAATAAAATGTTTTGCATACCTGCTTTGTATGTTTGCTTAAGGACTTCTAGGTGATCTACGTTTTTTGCCTTAATTGATTTCTGTAGTATGTGCTCTATTTATTCAGCCCACCTCATTGAACTTATTGAGACTTCTGTATTTTTATATATGATTAATGCACTTGTGCAAGATGTTGCTGGAGCATCCTTTGGTAGAGGCTACTTCTCCAATTCCACTGAACAACAGCCCTTCCACTCTTCTGTTGCAATCCCACAGTAGCAATCAAGTATGGTCACTACTGTGCCCATGGGTGGCAGAATCTTCTGTCTATACAAACCATTTTAATTTCAAAGTCGTACTTCACTTTCACATTTGACTCTTGTGGGCACTTGAACTAGCATTGGGCCATATAATAGACTGAAATGCTGAGCATGGCTTCTTACAGTATCCTCTGCAAATTGTTTTAGTCTTGGAATTTAGCTGAAATGATGAGGACTATTACAAACAGGATCTTGCAGCCAAAAATGCAAGAACATACAATATTGTTCAAGAACTGTATCCAAAGTTACTCTAACTAAACTAATTTAGCTGTTCTTTGCAGTAGGTTATGTGTACTTCTAGCAAAGGCCTATCAAAAATTAGCCTGGTAGAGATCAACAGGACAGCTATATAGCCATTCCCTTGGAGTTTAAAAAAGAGACAGACAGTGAAGCGGTGTAAAAGAAATAATTCGCTTAATCTTTTCCCAATCCTGGCACACACCTTGTCCTTTTAAGCTTTCATTTTGCTTCTTGGCTTTCTATCCTTTCATAGGAAAGTTTTTGATATGGATTTGGAGGATCCACAACTGTGTAAGACATCACCCATTTATTTTCGAAGTGCTGTTTGCACCAGTATGCCAGGCCGTGATCAAACAAAGGATAAGACAGAAGAAGGTAGGAGGCACAATATTTAGCTGTCTTCATGGTCAAGAACTAGGACATTCTTCTCAAATTTCTTTATCATCTACCCTTTACTGCTATACAGAAGTGGGGAATTTCAGTAGATGCTGTTTTTTCACCCCACATTATTTGCTGAACCAGCCAAAATTCTTCTCTACATGTAGTAAAAGTACATGATTATGTCTTCCTTTGCATCTGGTCAAGATGGGCATACACAGTAAAGAAAATTAAAGTTAGATATTGGTCCAAGTCAGAACACTGAATGCTACAACTGTGGTTCTGCCCAAGTGACCATTAGGTGGTGCATGATTATCAGACTTTCCTGACACACACAGAAAAGTTGCACCATCAGTCTGTTTGGTTCAAATAGAGTGCATACAGCTCTCTAGGTTTTCAAACAAGGTTTCCCAGTCCTAAGAGATGCCAGGGATGGGATTTGGGACCTTTTATTTGTAAAGCATGTGCTCTACTACTGTGCTTACATGCTGGATGATTACTGCCCTTTACCCTTTCCTTTTACAGTTTGAGTAACTTAATCACTGTCTTGCACTTTTCTAAGAAAAAGCCAAAAGGCACAATCACTGAAACATAATTTAGCTCTGTAAGGTTGTCGAGCAAAGTCTGAACAAATGTTAACTGCTAGTTAATATTTAATATCTTAACATTTCTGTCCAGAGTTTGCAATCTGTCAAGTGGTATGTTATCTGTCATATGATACATAGCATGGAGTCTTTTTCTTAGAGCAAATGTTCAGTGGCAGATTGCAAGAATATTTAATCTCTAGAGGTACTTGACACTTAGTTTTACTGATAACTTTTTGCAGCTGTATAAGCAATTAAATATCAGTTTTCAATATTAGCCTTGAAACAAATTTTTAAGGGGTTCATAATTGGCAATGTGGGGGGGGGAGTTTTCTAGCACAAGCAACATCAAGTTCATTCAGAACTCTTTCTAACAGATAACTATATTATGGGTTTTCTGGGATGATATGGTTGCAGGAGTTAACAAAGTTGCTCACTAAAATTAACTATACATATCCCAAGTATATTGCAGGTGAGGCTGCAAATACTAATTTATGTTGTAATACCATTTATCTGAAAGTTTGGACAGGGTCACTGCCTAAATTACTGGGAAGCAGGAGCATCTACCTGCCCCCCCCCCCCACCACACACACAACTTTTGTGATGGTCCTCTATAGCCTTTTGAAAACATTAGCTATAATTTTCCTAAATTTAATTATAATCAGGTGTAAGATTTTGGATTTAATTGATTCCCTCCTTCCTATAACATGAACACTGATGAGCAAAAGTTTGGTAAGTTTTCCCATGGGACCCATCAAGATGTAATCAAAGTACTGTTTAATGCTCCAATTCTATGAAATTGTGGAAAAGGCTGCAGAATGCAGTAGGAATTGCAGGATTCAACTTGCTGCGAACAACTGCCTTGGTTTGATTGTTTTTAACAAACAAGTTTCTAGTCTGTATTGCTGCAAAAGCATAAGTGTGTGAGTAATGTCTGATGAAATCACAAAAGTATGTTATGTCCTGTGGTATCAAGAGTTCAAGCAGCAAGAGACTCTTAGAATGCCCACAGAACTAAGGCTACAATTCTATACAGCAGCCTTCCCCAACCTGGTGCCTTCCTGTTGTTTTGTATTATAGTTCCCATTTTCATTGACCACTGACCATACTGGTAGAGGCTTTGAAATCTGTAGTCCAAACTTCTGGAGGGGCCCCAGGTTGGGGAAGGCTGCTATGCAGACTTCTCTGGAAATAGTCCTCTGAAAATGTATGCATGGTGTTATACACAGCTGCAATCATTCACATGTTTATGTAGGAGTAAGATGTATCTAAATTTGGAGACTTCCAAGTAACTGCATTGCACTAAGCTATGCATTGTGCCAAGTAATCCAGATTTGCATCATCCACCCAGCTGCAAATACATTACTTTGGCTCAGAGTATCTTCCTTTAGCTCAGAGTATCTTCCTAGAGGTTTTTACAAGTGGTTCCCAAGCCGTCAGTTTTATAGCCACTTTCTAGGGTCAGACCATTGCTTTAGCAAGTGAACCATGTTTTGTTCCTTCAGACTATTCTTTGGGATGATATATGATGTCATGTTATAGAGCTCTCATAGAATTCCTGTAGCACCACTTCTTGTAGAACCACTACAGATGTAGAGAAGAGGATTTAAAAGAAACCCATGCAGATTCTTGGTCATGGTTAGGTCCTCATGTTTTACAAAGTCAGAGGCCCATCCACAGGGTTGTAGGACTATTGGTGTGGACATCTGTGAAAGCTGGTATTGTGATCCTGCACAGTTCCAAGCCCCGCAGAAGCTCGCTCGTGTGAAATTCTGTGTGTGGCCTTCTGCAGGGTTAGTTTTAAATAAATTAATGCCACAATTAGTCTGAATCAGGGATGAGTAAATAATATGCTTACAGTTACAGAATTGCCTGTACACGTAAAAAGAGGAAGAAGAGATTTGAAAGTGTTCCAGCTGTACTGCGTTTCTGGTAACAGCATGGGGGAACAGATCTTGCTTGATTCAGGATGTGTGCAAAGAATATTGGTTGACCCTCAAGTACTGGGTAATATACATGCAAAGTGAATATTTACTAAGTGCTTGTTGTTACTGAAGGAACAATTACTTTGTTCTTTTTACTGATGTACTTTGTACAAATTTGGACAAGTTTTGGTTCTTTACTGAATGGGTGCACTGCTTAAGCGTACATCCATGGGCAATGTCTGCCCAACTCAGTAGGCAGTATAGATAGGTGACTGGAGAAGCAGAATTCCAAGCACATAAGCCTAATTTGGAAAATCCTCTAAACCAGGAGTAGGCAAACTTTTGAGCAAATGGGAAATTTGAGAAACTAGCCTGGTACACCATAAAATGGCCGTCGTGCGTAGGCGTGGCCTCAAAGGACGCAGTAGCCTGTGCAGAGACATTCCAAAGAGATTGAGATGGCAGCATCCAGAGGCTCTTGCTTGACTTTGGAGCAATTCAGGCCGCCAGTAATAAAATACAAAAACACTTTCAAAAAAGAATTGGGAGGCTTAGGGTGTCAGTAAGCGCCGCGCTACCTACCAGTAGCCTCCCTGGTTTGTGATGCTTTGGACTAGAGTTCATGAGCCTCTGCCAGCATAGCCTAGAAGCAGGGCCGGCCAGTGCAGGTCGCCCGAGTGAGACAGCAAGCGGCACCCCGCGCGTCAAAACACATCCAGACCGCCAACGGCTGCTCGCCCTTGACGCAGAAAATCCCACAAGCCCGTCGCCCCCACCCTTGGCAGCATTTTGATAAGTTTGCAACTCATAAGTCGATCGCGACACCCATGTTCAGCTGCAGAAGCTCAGCACAGACGTTGTACCAACACTTCTGCAATACGAGGAGTACGGAAAGGGAGTGGACAAGGAGGGAGGGAGCTTAAATAAAAAGAATTAAAAAAGGTGAAGCACGACCGTGTAAGCCGACTCCTGTGGAACTGCTGCAGGCGCTGAAGCCAAAGGGGAAGGGCTTTCTGTTTCTTTTCACTCGTGGCTGCAAGGAAGGAGGGCAGAGTCGCGCTGCTTAGACAAATGTGGCTCTGCCCGAGGCTGCAGGACACGATCTGGAGGACTTTATTCCCGCTCGGCCGAAGGAGCGAGGTAGAGGCTGCCCGCCATGGCTCTGCCGGGAGGCTGCTGGCGCGTGGCTCTCTCGGTGTTTTTCCTCACGGAGGTGCAGGTAAGGCTCCGGGGGCTGGAAGGGAAAGGCACCGCTGCCTGCAGCTCTGTCTCAGAGTCCCTGGAGCTCCGAGAGGGGTGCTTGCTTACATCTGCACGCTCTGCTCGGAGGCGCCTGCGACGGCTTAGCAAATAGGTAAAAGTGCAATTTCCACAACTTTTTGCAGTTGGGGGAGTGGGAAGGGAAGGGGACGCTGAAGCGGCTGGGGAGAGCTTTGCTCCGCATATTTGATTTCTGAGAGAGATGTAACGGGTTGAATCCAGACACAGATTGAAGACCTATACATACCTGGAAGTAAAGCCCACTGAACTCATTGGAGCTTACTTCTGAGTCCAAAGGCGTACGATTGCCTTGTAAATTAGTCGCATTTAATTCCTGTTCAATCAAACTGGTTGGCCATGACTACATTTCACATTGATTTAATTGGGCCTGGGGTGACTTTCCATGGAGCCAGCCAATCTGCTATTGCTTGACATTTACGTCCACATTTACGTCCCCATCCTAAATAAATTTTCTGTGCAATAATTCCTGTTGATTTCGTTGAAGTTTTAAGTATGCTAAGGATCACCTTTCCATGCAATAACACAAGGATACAGAAATGGGGGGGGGCAAGGTAAAGGTAAGAGGGATTGCCCGTTTGGGGTGCACTTGCTATCCCCCCTGCGTGTGTCCTCTGCACCGTTTTTTTAAATGGACTGCAAATAAAAAGTGGCAACATAGATCAAAGATTGGAAGTGAAAGGTACCAAGTAGCTATTCTGGCCACCCGAAAAGCTTCCTCAAAGGTAAAATCTTGGCTAATCAGCAAAAAGTCTGTAGAGGGAGTTCTAAGGAGAAAGCAGCACTTCCGAGATGGCTCAAGATCCTGCTGCCCTGGTTCACATCCTTGCAGAGTAGAAGACCCTAAGTAGGGCTTCCTCTGATTACATTTAAGCAAGGAAACATATGACAGGGAATACTCTGCAAAGGCAATAAAATAGCTCCAGAGAGAGGCACTGAGAGGGCGGCCATACTTCAATCCTTTGACACTCCTGCAGCTCTTAAGCAAGGATAAAAATCGACCTAGAGCCCCTTCTAAGATATTGAGCAAAACAAGACAACCTTGTCTGGATATATGAGACTGGAAAGGATTTCCGAAAAAAGACTGGCAAGGGATGTAATTTTCATGTGGTGAAAAACAACCCTAGTAAAATGCATACAAAGCACTGCTCTCCATTTTCTCTTATTTTGTATTTTCCAATCAGCATTGGAACCCACCCGGTAGTTCATCCAATTCTGGTTTCCATCGCAGTCCATTTTTGCCAGTGTCCTTCCAGCTGGAAAGATTCCGCAATGATGTGGCTTTCACCACTTCCCTTGGGAAGCTTTCCTATAAATCAAACTTTATTTACATATTAAAATGCTTTCTATAAACAGGGTAAATTTTGTTTTTATTCCTCACCTCCACCCTCCCTCAAAAAAGGTTTGACTTATTACATACCTCCCAACTTTTCTCCCTCTTTATATTTTCAGTATTTTATAAGTGAATTGAGTGGCTCTGGCTGCATAATAATGGCAAATCCACAAAGAAAACCAGAAGGAAACCAAAGCATTAATTCTGTTCTTTTATAAAGACCGAGTCTGTTACTTTTCAGACAATATCATCCAACTCTTAATGACAGCCAATTAGCAAATAAAAATACACAGTATTTATTGCTGGTCTTGAGTTGTGGCTACAACATCATGAAGTAACCAGGTAGAACCTCACCTTTGCTAGAGACATGGTGGGTGATCTCGGGCTGTGCACAGCCTCCCACCAAGTTTCATTAGTGGCTTACTTTATATGGTGGTTGTGAAAACTGAAACAATATAATGCATGCCAAGCACATAGTAGATTTTTAAAAATACCTGTATAAATACTGGAAATAGTTTTTGTCATCATTCAGAGTGAGTGTTATGTGTTATGTATTCAGTGTTACAATGCAAAATTACTACCTTGAAATGTTTGTTTGACTTTTATTTTAAGGAAATGTTTTAACAGCTACATGAGTAACAAAAAGCAAGTATAGCTTTTCCTACTATATCATTTCCACCAGGGGAAATGCTTCACAATTTTTTCTAGCTGAAAGAAGGCATGTGTACCCAGATATTTGCCTCTTTAAATAATATCATCCTGTACAAATCCATAAACTAATATCATGGTATTTCACTATGCACCAAGGGTCTTAATTGTAAAATAGCCACATGCAACAAATAACAATAATCCACTTCAGCTCCAGGTGTTTCTGGTTCCCATCCATGTCTATTGCAATGCTATGTAGAATGACATAAAGATAAGCACATCTGGACCTGCTGATCCAGACTTCATTAATGCAGGTTATAGTCCTCATGCACTAGGATGTTGGTCAAAACAGCCTTAGCTGGCAATTGCTGGATTTATAGTTTGTTGTAGGAAAAGTAATTGAACTCTGTCCTGACTCCTCACTGAAGAGATCAAAGAAAGCTGCCCCTGCTGGACTAGGGACCTTGGGATACAAGTAATCAGGGAGCGAACGACCAGAGCAAGTGAACAGGAAGAGTAAACAGCAGTTTGGCAACAGAGTTCAGCAGGGGAGATCCCTAACCTTTTCCTTTCTGTCTTCCTTTCCAACTTTGTTCCACCCCCTGCCCTTGATTTTGTTCCTTTAATACATTCCCATTCAGTGGTAGGACTGTGTTGTTAAACTTTAGGAAAGACAGGAGAAAGCACTGGTTGTTACAACAGGCCCAGCAAGCATGAATCAAAAAGGTAACAGAAAAAATGGACTGAGAAAACATCCCAGTGGTGGTAACCTGCAACATCTGTGCAGCGGTTTTTCTGCCTTAAGTCAACATGGCCTATATGTGCAACAAGCACAAGCTTGTAGCCCTGTTAGAAGAAAAGGTGAAAGCATTTGAGCAGCAAATGTCCACATTCAAGGTAATAAAAGAAGATGAAGAGTTTTTAGAAAGAACATGGAACTGCAGCAACTAGGAGTAGTACAGAAGCTAGAAGTGCGACAGCAAGCTGAGGCAGAAGAGGAGAATCCTGGGGGAAGGGAAAATGAAGAGGAAACTCCCAGGGGGCGGAATTGCTAGAAGACACTCTGCACCAGTGGAATTAGCAGAACTATGGAACCGCTTTCTGTTACTCAAGGATGTGACTGGAGGACAGCCTTTACTGGAAGAACCAGAAGCCATCCCATGCAACACTGAACAAGAGGCTAAAGGTCAACCAGGTACTGGCAGTGATACCAGGGCTTGCGAGAACAAGAAGAGAAGGGTGTTAGTTGTGGGAGACTCCGAATGGAAACACATGTATGTCAGGAAGACCCGTGGACTCGTCAGGTACGCTTTCTCCCTGGAGGACAGATCAGGAATACGACTGACAGATCGCCAAGGCTCATATAGCCCACTGACATGCACCCCTCCTCCTCGTGGGAACAGGTGACACTGCCAGGCGGAGCTTTGAAGAAATCATATCAGACTGATCTGAAAACAAAAAAGGACATGAATAGGAAGTGGAAGGAAGGCCAGGCTACAAAGAGAGAATGCGGGCAGGCAGCAGGAAATAAAAGGGATAGCATCAGGAAGGCTAAAGCTAGGGATGAACTGAGGCTAGTGAGAGATGCTAAAAGCAACAAAAGAGCCTTCCTCAAATATATGCAAAGTAGAAAAGAAAAGAAGGGGGATTTCATCAACTCAATGTGGATGGCAAAATGACAACAGATAACAAAAAAGGCAGCAATGCTCATCTTTTGTGTGATTTTTTTTTTTTTTTGGTAAAATAAAATATTAGTAGTTCCATCCATATAATATGTTGTATTTGATAGGACAACAAATATCTCCTTATGTATACCAGTAGGTCATACTTATCCTCAATACAAAATGGAAAAGATAAATTAGTAAAGATGCATATTAAATATGTATCTTTATTAATGCTTACATATTAAATATGTTACAATTAAAGGGCCAACAGGAATGAATTAATATATTAAGTGGTTAATTTCATACTGTACTATAACACTTCTGAAGGTCAACACAATCCTAAATTATACCAGCATGATTGTTGTTGTTGTTGTTGTTAGTTGCGAAGTCGCATCCAACCCATCGCGACCCCATGGACAATGATAGTGGACGTTAATTTCAGCCTTGTATGTCAGGCTTTTATCATCACTCTGACATCCCCCTTATTACTTCTGCTTGGACTTGAGTAGTGCAAACAAACCTGCACTCATGTAGTGAGGTTTTTCCATGGCTGCTGCATCCACAGGTATCCTGTCTCCCAAGTGTGGGCGTGTTCTATGGCAGGGGTGGACAGACTTGCTCGACAGAAGAGCCACATATGGTGAATGTCAGATGTTTGACAGTTGCGAGACATTAACAGATTTATTTATTATGACCAAGCAGACATTGTTAGCATTATTGGGCTAGTTACTGCTAGTAGAGGTCTTGTGAGTCTCCATCTTGGTCTTGAGGCATTGAAAATCCAGCTGATACACTGTCAAGACTATACAAATTAGCTGTTGGCTGGGCTGCTGTTTGGTGCTCAGAGCTGAGGTCACATGACTGAAGCACCTCAATTGGTTATCACAGCAGCAAACTTGCGCCTCATTCCCTGCTTTTTTTCACACAGACTTGGCTGCCAGGCTTAGCTGCTCAGAAGTGAATTTGTGTTGGACCCCTCATTTCATGCACCAGCTTGGTTGCTCAGATTAGAAGTTGCATAAGGCTTTTTCGGCCCTTCTGTGAGCCACAAAATAAACTCTGAAGAGCCACATGTGTCTCGTGAACCTCGGTTTGGCCACCCTTATTACATAGGATGGAGGACGGTAGAACTGGCAGAAAACAATAATGATTGGTGCGCACTGAAGTATCTTATATTTGTATAAGTTGTATGTCACAAACAGGCAAATCTTTCAGATCAGTTTTATTATGGTGTTTATATTCTCTAACAATACAAAAGTTACTGCTGTTTGATATGTAGTATCTAAATCAAAATTG